AAAAAATCTAAATCTTTAGAGGGTTTAGCATTACTATTATGAATGTTCAGAAACCGCCACCAATAAAGAAGTGGAAAATGATATTTAAACCAGTTTTCTAATCCTCTTGGCAGTCTCACTTGCCTATGAATGACAATAATCTTGTATTGTGTTAATGTTCTGGACCTTTTAAAAAACAAATACAGCCATTTCCCTCGAGCACATTGGCACGGATTGCTGATTAGGGCTATAATCCTTTTATTACAAGGAGCAGGTTAATAAAAGTACACCCATATTCGGTAGCTGGTCTATTTTACTTAATACCTTCCCCCCCTTAAATCTAATATATTTTTTAAAAGCTAATTCCTAAAACCTAAAATTAACCTAAGTGTCCTTCATTAATATGTATTGTTTGGGTGAATTCGGTAGCTGTTTGGGTAAATCATACAGAAATTGCTAACCTAGTCAAAAGTCATCAACAAGAGAACCTGAAGGCCAATGGGGAAAATGGCCGGAAGGCCACAATACCGGAGTTCTGTTCATTTCAGTTCTTAAAATACTAGTCGCCAAAAAACAAAACAAAACTACAATACCAATTTAATACTATGTACTACCTCAGGGGGGAAAAAAAACTTTCAAAATGGTACAGTGTGACTATGAGGACATTTGTGAACTGCAAGGAAAAGATGACTAGGGGTTATAGAGGAGTTAAAGTAGTCATGGGCATTTTAAAGCATTTCTATATATTGATAGTCAAACGAAAGCATACAGGTTTGGAAAGCTGTACAAATGACAGAGAACATTGGAGTACTGAGGTGCTGGCAAAGAATGGTGTATCTACAATGGACTCCTAGAAGATGGAATGAATTTGTCTTGGAGGAAGTTCAAGTAGAATGCTACTTTGGAATGGAGGATGATGAGACCTCATATGCCATACTTCGGAAGTGCTGTCAGGCAGGGCACCAGTTTCTGGAATAATAAGACCATCATGCTTGGTACAAGAGGGTCAGTGAAAAAGAAGACCACGTTCTAGGAGGAAAAGGCTTCAAATTCAAATTTGTTTAATAGAGACCGCTTTATTCAGTCTCACACAGGGCAAACACAAGCTGAAGATAAATCATCGGGATGAAGGATCAGCAAGGGGCCATAGTAATGCCAAAATAATTCATGGTCATGCAGCTAATCAATAAAAAACTCAAACCCACTGCCATCGAGTTAACGCAGACTCATAATGATCCCGCAGGACAGAGCAGAATTGTCCCAGTGGGTTTCCTAGACGGTGACTTTACAGGGGTCTAAGTCTTCCCTTCTCCGGCTAAACAAAAGAAAACAAAAGAAACCATCACAAAGTCATGATTTGTGGCAATTCAATCCATCAGTGTCATAGACAACAGAAAATAGGTGGGGGAAGGGCTATGATTAGAATATGTACGTACACAAAGGCAGATTAGAAAAGTTTACAGGGAGTTTCAGCCTTAAGTCCAACAGCTACAAGTGAGTTTTAAGTAAAGCCCAGTTCACTTAGTGGGGTTTTCTACATCAAGTCCTTCCAGTGTGGCTTATGAAGGATGTTGCGCACACCTAAAGAACAGAGTCTAAAGTTCCAGTAGTCTATAGCTGAATAGAAACTAGGTCAAAAGTGTCCAATTAGGAACACAGTACTGGGTGTATTTTTCTCTGGGTTCCATTTTAAGTATTGTTCACGTTTTTGGTTTTATCCCCCCAAGGAGAGGTTGTTCCTGCCTGTTTACCTACCAAAAGAAATGTAACTGCCTTCTCAGACATAACAAATGATCCACTCCCCCATCTTGACTTGACTTCCAGAAAGATTCACTTATCACTGTTGATTTGGGGTGACCTTTGCACAATTTTGAATGGCAGCAGCTGAAAAGTCATCCCTCTCTCTGCATCTTGAAAAACTGACTCCAGCTGAGGTGAGGGTGTCCTCTGCCAAAGTGTTTTTTTAAGCTATACAGTGAGAAGGGACGTTTTATGGTTCTAGTCTGATAGAGAACTGGCGTTTTTTGTTTTTGTTTTTTACTTTAGTACAGATCTCTTGCCTCGAAAGTGACCAATGAATGTACTTATAATTTTAATGACTTCCTTGGTTTATATGAAATGTATTAATCTGGTAGGTATGGTTCAGCCAATGTGAATGAATGTTATTAAAACATTCAATGCCCTATCAACCCCTGTATTTTGTGGAAATAGTGTCCAGTCGGTTAAGAATTTAATCTGTCCAAGTCAATAATTCATGTATTATGGTTTGTAGCTGGCTTATAATTTCCTTTTTTCTCAACAGTATTTTGTCTATACATGTATACTTTTCTTTTCTCAACAGTGTTTTAAATTCTATGCCACTGACTAAATTAATGATACTATCAATTACATTATGACACAAGGGAATGATTATTAATGTTCTCTAGCATAAAATGATAATGTCTCCAAAGTGAACCATATATAAACCATAGATATAAAAATGGATTTGGGGTTCACACTTAATTCTAGTCTCAGTCTAGGAACAATTAGTTCTTATGACATGGCTCTGTTTGATGCTCCCCCTTATGAAGAGATCCCTGAAGTCATGAGTGTTCTAGCAAAGTGTGTTGAGAAACTAGATGGTGCCTGGCTATCATTAACAATAGCTTCTAGGGCAGTGGTTCTCAACCTGTAGGTCCCAACCCCTTTGGGGGGTTGAACGACGCTTTTACAGGGGTCGGCTGATTCATAATAGCACCAAAATTACAGTTATGAAGTATCCACGAAAATAATATTATTGTTGAGGGTCACCCCAACATGAACTGTATTAAAGGGTTATGGCATTAGGAAGGTTGAGAACCACTGTTCTCGGGTCTTAAAGGTTTGTCTTTCAAACAAGGTATCCGTCTGAGTGAGGTTCAAATAAGCTCACATGACAGCAGCACACCAGCCTGTATGATCCAAGGATTATAAATAAGACCCAAATCCAAAGGAGGGAATGGTGTCTGAGCTTCAATCGGGAATACCTGGTTTACAGAAGTCTATGGATGGCAGTGGAAGCACAAAATCCATTTGCAGGGTCCACACATGGATTAAGCCTCTGGTTGATACCCTCTAATATAGGTGAGGGATGTGAATAGTCTTGTTCTCAGACAGAAAGCACTGTAAAGTTGATTATGGAAGATGTAGTTATCTTAAAATGAAATATCTTATCATCTAATCTCCCATTTAACAGATGTCTCATTAAAAAAAAAAGCGAAGGGGAAATAACATGTGGAGTATGCCTCTTGTGAATCCCCTCTGGCTACAGACAAGGGAAGTGAATAGCCTTGTTATCAAGCAGTGCTTTCTGTAAAGTGGATTAATGCAAATGTAGTTTAAAATTCAACATTTTATCATGTGGTCTCCCTTGTGACTCATTTCAAATCTGTTCAAATTTTTAATATTTTCTACTTTCTTTTTGATTGAAGTTTTTCTCTATGTAACTTTGTTTTGGTAGGCTTTCTGCATATGAACTTATGGTGACCTCATGTGTCAGAATACTGTGTAGCACAGGGTTTTCAGTGGCAGATATTTTACAAGTAGATCACTCTTTCAGTCTTTCTGTCCTAGAGCAGCCGGTGGTTTTGAACCACTGACCTTTTGGTTAGTAGTCTAACACATTAGGAATAACCTTTTATAACAAAGCTCCTCTTACTTACCACCTTTAGTAACTAGGATCTTATCTATAGATGTGCCAAATCCTTTTTCTGATTCTTCAGTAGTTCCCCGGGGCTGCAGTTTGTTCCTATCTACCCGTCCTAGGGCTTGGTGTTACGATGCTATTTCACAGGTCTCTGATGCTTCTTCCTAAACCTTGCCTGATAGAGAGTGCTGCTGGTTATCAGCATATTCAGGGGTTGTCTATTTCTTGAACATCTTGAAACCATCTAAGCTACTACTGACTGGAGTCTATACCTAACCTCTTGATAAAAACAAGAGACTGTTTGTGCTTGGGAAGAGCTATGAGAACTGTAATGTTGTCTGAGTATCTTTTGGATATATTTCAGTTTGCTGTTTAGCTTTACAGCTTCTGAAAGTAGGTCCTTATACCTTTCTGGATATTGCCAAGATGAATCTTTGCTCCATATCATATAGTCTATGTTAGGGGTGAGCAAACTTTTGAGATGGAAGAACCATTCCTGTCCCTCACAACAATCTGAAAATTATTTTTACAAATGAAATGAGAATTATCTAAATAATATCCTTTAGCATTTTCAATTTTACTTCAGAGTCACATACATGTACCGAAAGAGCTGCCTTGGCTCTAGTCCTGCAGTTTGAGGACCCCTGGTTTATGTGATTCTTCTACCTAGACTCCCAGGAATGCTATTTGCCCTAAAACTTCTGTTACCACCGCCTACTATTTATGATAGTGCACCCAACCAATCTTAAAGTAAACTCATCCTTTGAATAACATTATCTTAGACCACTGGCAAAACACCTTCCCCAAGTGTCAACATTATACCTTACCTCAAAACTCACTGCCTTCTAGATGATGCTGACTGACAGCGACTCTGTAGAACAGGACAGGACTGCCTAAGTGAGTTTCCAAGACTGTAGAGACCTAACTGTGTGCAGGAGTAGAAAACTCCATCTTTTTCTTGGCAGCTGATAGTTTCAAACCTTTCAGATTGCAACCCAACGCATAACTATTTTGCCAACAGAGTTCCTTATCTATACCCTATTTTCGTTTTATACTATGGTCTGCATGGTCATGAGTCAGACCGTAACTGCCTTGGTTGGTCGCAGCCCAAATCAATCTTGTAAGCTTTTCTATCTGTCATAGTATACGTATTCCAAACATAGACCCTTTCTTGCTTCTGTAATCCCACATGCAACCATGATCTGTACCTAATCAGGCTTCTGTAACAATTTCCTTTAAGTGGAGAGAAAATGTTTTGAGAATGATGTACAAATGCGCTTTACACAATTGATGTGTGTATGGACTGTGATAAGAGTTGTATAAGCCCCTAATAAAGTGATTAAAAAAAAAGATAAATAAATAAATGGAACACTTTACAAATTTGTGTGTCATCTTTGCACAAGGACCATGTTAATCTTCTCTGTATCGTTTTAATTTTAGTATATGTGCTGCCGAAGTTAGTACCCATATCCTCTTTAAGAGTTTCTGTGACTTCTCAGATACCATTAAGACCTTGTGATGGTTTCCCTCATCTGCATATGTCTTTGTCTTTTTTAAAACTGAAGAAATATATCTCCATCAATTTATTTGAATTTGATGTTTATTTTCTTCCCTACAACAGAACTGAGATTTGGTTCTAGACCATTTTAATGGAGTAAATATCTCAATAAGGTGGATCACACTAATATTTTGGTTTCTAGCTGCACTTAAAAGTTATGTTTAAGCCCAAATTCCCATCAGCAGAAAAACGGATTAAAAAACGAGAATATACACACAATGTAATACTATGCATCCCTAAACAGGAGTGACGAAGCCATGAAACACCTTTGTGACATGGGAGAATCTAGAAAGCACAATGCTCTCCAATCACAAAAGGGCCGTATGAGCGCACTGCTGACAGGAGAAACATCACGATGAAGGCAAACTCATGCTGCAGGTCATGCAATCTGCTAGCCAAGGCTACCAAGCAATGTGGCAGAGACCGGCTAGTGCCCCTAAACCATACATGTGTATCCTCTCTATAAGTGAATTTTAAAAACTACTTTGAGGGGGAAGTCCTTGAGGCAGCTGGGATCAGATTTTCATGAGTAGTGGAAAGGAAGGTGATCATTCAGCGGCTGCCATGCAAAAACACGATGAGGTCCCCACAATCCAGCAGTCATTGTCACTAGAATGCTACGTGATACTGATGGGAAAATCAGTCAGAAGTGGGGACGGGAGCAGACATATCTTGGAGAAGCCAAGTGCATTTCTGTTGGTAGAACAAGGAGGACCAACCTACTAGCAGAACAAAAATGACTAATACTTGGGGCCTCATGGGGTTACTCTACCTGATATCAGGCCCCTAATAAGGCACACTGGTCTGAGTTTCTGTACACCTCCTAGGAAACCAGTCCCTGAGTCACAGAATACTGGGACATTGAACTCTGGATCTTCAAGAGCACAACATACTCCAAAGGCCATACCAGAGGGATGCGATGTGGAAACCCCAATAGGTGAACTGAGCTCTACCTCAAACACACCTGTATTCTGAGGACTTCAGGCCGTAATTACAAGGAGTGTAAAGCAGTAGATGACAGTTATACCAAGAGTATTGGTCTGTTGACCGGCTGACTAACATTTACTTACTACTTCAATACCTTACTTGATTTATTAAGATATCTATTTTTCCCAAAGACCTGTGGTCTGACATTGTCAGTGGATATAATTGTAAGTTTTTCATGACCATGAATTTCCATTATTTATGTAAATAAAGTCCAGTGATGTGAGGAACTAATCTGAGCAAGTCAATAATGCAGGTATTACGGTTTATAGTTAATCCACACTTGTCTACTCTTTTCTCAATTGTGTTTTAAATACATTACCATGGGGCTAAATTAATGACACTATAAACAGAAGGAACTTATGCTCTGGGGAGATGATCAATAAGTTTCTCTACCGTAAAATAACAAAGATGCCTCTAAGGTGAAACAGACAGAAAACACAGATGTAGGAATGGATTTGGCGCTTGCACTTAATCCTAACTCCAATCTAAGAACAATTAGTTCTACAACATGGTCCTGCTCAATACTCGCCCTCATGAAGGAAACATGGACGATATGAATGACATAGTAAAGTGTGGTGAAGAAATTGGCTGATGCCCAGCTATCAGAAAGAATAGTCACTGGGGTCTTCAAAGGCTTGCTTTCAAACAATCAGCCATCTAAGTGAGATGTCATCTAAGCCCACATGGAAGAAGCACATCAACATCTGTGATCCAAGGATTGGAAAAGATATAATCCAAATCTGAAGGAAGGAATGGTATCAGAGCTTAAATTGTGAAATTCTGGTTTTCAGAAGGCGATGGATGGCAGCGGAGGCCCAAAATACACTTGTGGGATCTACACAGGGAGTAAGCCTCCAGTGATTTCCCTCTGATCATGTAACCGAGAGATGGGAATACCTGATTATCAAACAGAGAGATGATTAAAATGATCCATCTGAATTGAATGGTTAAAATCTTATCATTCGATCTTCCGTTTGATACATCTGAGCCTAATCTGGTTCTTAATATTTTGCTGTTGTTTTCTTCAGATTGGGACTTATCTCTTGTATTTTGTTATTGTTGTAGCATTCTTGAATCTCTGTGATGCATCTACGTTTTTTTGTATATGGAACCCAGGTTGGTGAATCTATAGAGACAGTAACTAGAATAAGGGCTCCTGGAGGGTGTGGCAAGGGAGGGGGAGCTGATATCAAGAAATACAAGAAGGAAGAAAATGTTTTGAAAATGATTGTCATAGCAATTGTACAACTGCTTGATATGAATAAACTACTGAATGGTATGATATCTGGAGTATGTTCTAATAAAATGATTTGGGAAAAAGTTATTTCTATACTGCACTGAGGCCTATTAAGTGTGCAGCTGTACTATGAAAAAAATCAAAATAATGTGAAAAGTGAAAAATATGACACAGAGACACAAAGTGGGCACATGCTGTTGGAAAAGTGGGTCAGAGAGATTTGTTTGATACAGGAATGCCACAAACCTTCAATTTGCTAAAAACAGGCACACAAACAAAAGAACACTATCTGCAAAGCACAATAAAGCAAAGTGCAATAAAATGGGATATGCCTGTATCCTTATTATGCTACTTGTGTATCTCTTCCCATTCCCATTGGATACGCAGTTATTTGTGAACAAATCTATGTCTCCCACGAAGCCATGAATTTCACGAGAAGAACACTACGTTCTTTATAATCCTAATTTACGTTCTTTATAATCCTAATGATTTGCATGGTACCTGGCACCCATAAGGGGAGGCTGCAGGAGGGAAGAACAGTGAAGGGGGTGAGATGCTACCTTTACAGAACAAGGAAACATGAAAAGCTAGCAGAAGATAACTTGATATGAGTACCATGCAAAGTATACAAAAAGAGGTGACAAAGCACATCTACTTAGTTTTGCAAGTTCAGTATGAAAAATCTGTGTCCTACAGTAAATTGTTTGCCATGACACTATTCCTACCTCTACTGTATGTCCCCACAGATTTTAATTAGCTGCTAAAAATTTCCCGGGTGTCCTATGAACACATGTAATTTCCTTGATAGAAAGTATGTAAAAATTCACAGTAGCCCCCTGTTCCATGGAATTGGATCTGAAATTTCTTCCACTGAGTTCTTTGCTTAAAAAAAAACGGTACCCTTCACCTTCCTCATCTTGGTGTTTTCTTCAAGTAAAGAAGCCATATGGGGTAAGATCTTCTCTTAGTCAGAAATTAAATGGTAATAAGTTATAGGGTCACATTTTGCTATTTTTGTTTCATAAAGGTTTCTCTAATTTTGTAGCAATGCTTTTTACTTGCCCAAATATAAATGAGTGGGCTTCCCGAATGTATGGAAAAATTCCATTATCTTTTAATTCTATTCTTCTACCAACTGTTTTAAGTCCCCTTGTATAAAAAATAATCATATTGCAGTTGAGTTGCATGTATGAAGGGGTTTCAGAAAGTATGTAGAAAAAATGCAATAAAAAATAATGGAATTTTCCCAAGTACTTTTTTAAGCCCAATCCTCTATGCAACAAAGATTGCAGGAAGTTCACTACCCAAGAAAAGCACGTCTGTAGCCTCATCAGAGAGATAACACTTCTAAAGCACCTATTTAACTTTTCAGGAAACACTGCAGAGCTGCAATTCACTTAAACTGACAGCTCCACACATTTTACCCTCTTCAGATTGTATCTCTTTCCAAAGTCTTAGAAACAGTCACTACTTTTTTGGAGCTTAATGTTGTTTGCACTAGCACCATCTGCAAACTTTGTTTTTCTAATTTGGCAAAATGCTTCAGTAATTCTGACCTTTCCCTAAAACACTGCAGTGAGATAAGGAAAGCATTTCTAGATCTGGCCCTCAGTAGTTGTGTGTTGAGGCAGAATGCAAACAGAGGCCTTCTGCCCCCCCCCCCTTGCCACCCCCACCCCCCATCTCCAGAGATCCTACCCAAGGTACCTAAGGGAGGCTAACAGGTATTACTGACTAGTCCTTGTAGTTACAAAAATGAAATTGCACCACCTGCTGGGAAAATGATCATGGTCTTATAAGTTTCACTCTACAGTGATAAATCATGCTACACTAAATTTTATTTGGGATTGCCATATTTAAATTCCCAATTACAATACCTAGAAACTCTAAATCTAAAACCTCACATGTAACAGAAACAAAAATAATAGTTAACCTGCAAATCATATGCACAGATTTAGGTTTTAAACTGTAACAATGTAATCTCTTCCATGAAGGTAGCAAAACTCACTCTGAAGTCATTATATCAAATTTCAACACAATGAAACTGTATCATGTGTGATTTTGGAAGATATTATATATTAAATGTAATAAAACTATAATTTCCAGGCTTCTGATGGACATATTCAATTATATGTTAAGTTTTTCTATAGTGTAATTTATCATACAATATTAAGACATAGACATTAAGTTTCAAGTAAGGTGTCACTCGTATTTTTGGAACGTCACAAGTTTTGTTGAGGAAAGGAATTTTTTTACATTAAAAAGGCACTGCAATCAAAGGTCCATGAGGCAGGGGTGCAGGGGGAAAAAATGAAGAGCTGATACCAAGTGGAAAGCAAATATTTTGAGAATGATGGGGCAACGAACATACAAATGTGCTTGACACAATTGATGTATGTATGGATTGTGATAAGTGTTGTATGAGCACACAATAAAATGATTTAAAAACAACAACAACAACAAAACCGAAACAAAACAAAAAGGCCCTGCAAAGTTGCTGTTTGAAACTACCCAGGCAGTCTTCGGAGTTGGCATGTGAATGGTCTCACTGGTGGGAACAAGGCTAGCCAGCAGAAAGATGGAATGACAGAAACCTAGAAATAGAAAAGAACTAAGAAAGTCTTTTCAATTTATTCTTTCTAAGAAATTATAATTTACTTCCAAGAAATTATCTTATGGAAA